ACAAAATACAAATATAGAATACACAAAAAAAAGTTTATACAGTCAAAATTTATATTATATAAAGACTAGTTCATTCACCCAATAGATGACTCTTCAACTTTCTTTTGAATAATGCAAGAGTGCTACATTTTTTAATATTTTTGTTTAAACTATTAAAAGCTTACATTCCTGCATGGTGAATGCAGGTAAATAACATACAGGGGCGGGACTACAGCATAGACATAAATAAATGACATAAGTAAGTGGGTCTATTCGATCCTCCACCGCAACTCGCGAGGGTTTATTGTGGTTCACACCTATCCACACTCACATTTGAATGACTACTCGCAAGTAGTCATATAAATGTTGTGAACAATGATTCAGTATGACAGTTATAGAAAAACAGTTCAGTTGACTTCTCCTTAAGAGTGGCGCTGAAAGTTTTTCCCAATATTTTTCTCAATATTTGTAACTTAACGTAATATATGTTTTTTCTATCTCTTGATGACTGCTTCGATATCAAAGAATATGTCTTAACGAATTTTTGTAAGAACGATAAGAACAAAAAAGTAATGGGTAGAATCTAAAAAATTCATGAATTCTTTACAAATCTAATCTTCAAATCGTTTGTCACTAGGGTAATATAATTTTATTGGTTGTGTTTTAATATCTTTCAGTTNTTATTCCTAGTATTATACAGGTGCTCCATTCACAGCAATTCGTGAGGCTTCCTTGTTGAAAGAACTGAAACATGCAAATATTGTCACCTTACATGACATTGTACACACCAGGGAGACACTTACTTTTGTCTTTGAATATGTCGTAAGTACTTTAATTTGTTTTGCGTAAGTGATTCAATTTGTTGTTATAAAACCTTTTTTTGGTAAAATAGAAATGAAAATAGATTTATTTGAAATAGATATCCTAATATACATAAATATTTTACGAATATATCAGTTACTCAGTGTCATTATTTTTCGAGTTTGAAAGCCGTGGATTTTTGGAATTTCTTCCTGACGTTTCGCTGGTGCGAGTGGCTAGCTTCTTCAGAGGTTTAACCATCATGGCTTGCTGTCCGATGACTACCTTTTAGGTGAATTAAAACTGACGTTTTGTTGNTATTCGTTTCGAAGTTAAAAAGGGTAGCTTTGCAAATGCAGAAATAAGATTCAAGTTGAAATCTAATTTTGCTTGCATTAATTCTAAATTATCTAAACCAATTAGTCCATCAAAAACTTTTTGAAATCTGAATAAATGAAATTTCAAATTGGAGCTACTATTGAATTCAGAAAAACTAGGAATTTCAGCACAGTGGTCTTGTGAATAATTAAAAAATGCTACGAATGGTTTGTGTTTTATGCAAATCTTTTTGAAATTGAAAACTATTTCAGGGTTGAGAAAAGATTTTGTGGATCCTGTATTAGTCAGAAGTTTCAAAGGTGGATTGCTTATATTTAGGTAGGGCGATTCTTTCTTATCAGTGACATTGTGTGGTTCAACTACATTTCAAGCATTCTGTTTTCGTCGCTCCTTTAAGCAGAAACAGTTGTAAAGGAACTATCAACTGAAAAACACCGGATGGTGTTGGTGAAAATATACCACATTCAAATCAAAACAGTTTGACTGACAATTGGTGAAATGAAATAGTCTCTATGTACAATTATTTGTAAGTTTTGTGAAAAAAATCAAAGAAAAATGTTTCGAATATTCCGTTTGAAATATCAAAATATATCAGAGTTAACATGATTTCATAAAGACACCAGATAATGAACGATGACTAGTTATGACAAAAAACGACGCAGCCGACTTGTGACGTCAACAATCTATGAAAAAGCATTTTGATGTGACGTACAATTCATTGAACTTTGAGTAAGAATTTTGTAGTGTATATATTTTTGTTTCAAAAACCAAGTGAACTGCTCATACCAAACAGACTTGGGGAATCAATTGTGTGACATTTTTTTGAATGAAAACTTGATATTTTTATTTTATTGCAGTACTATACATTTTATTTATTATTGTGAGATAGTAGTAGTTGCAACTTTCTTGTTTACATTACACCAGTTGTTGCTCACGGCTTCACCCGCGTAGAATTTGGCTTGTCACATTAAGTTTCGTGATAGACCATTTTAAACAAATAGTCACACTATTTTTTTATCAACTCAAAACTTCAGGTTTCCAACTTCAAAACTGACGAAATTCAATACTATCTTTGAATCCCTATTTATTCCCCTTGGTGGTGGAAATTCCTGATTCCCTTTCTTGATGCTTATTTACGCTATACAAAGAACCTACCTGCATATTTCAAGATTCTATGTTAAGTAGCTTCGGCTACTTTCTATAAGAATTTGGCAGATATTCTTAAATGTGCATTGTAAAAAAAGTAGGTATCCAATTTAATTGTATTTATGGCTCAGTATTTTGCATATAGTGGCTACCACATATCGCGGACTTTTATTTGGAACTATTTAAGGTAAACAATCTTAGGTATATTATCTACATGTAACTCCAACAGTATAAGCAGCGCACGCGAAGATAGCTCTGAGAAGCAAGCATTTTTCCGACTTACCTAATATTTATCGTTATAACCAAAATTACACAAAACCTTTGTAAATTGTAGCCTATGTTATTCTGATGTATAAGCTGAATTTATGTGAAGTTTCATCTAAATCTGTTCAGTTGTTCAGGCGTTAATGAGCCACAAGCATACATACATACATCCATCCTCACAAACTTTCACATTTATATTAGTATAGATAGATCACATTTCTTGTTTACATTTATTCTTAGATCCAATTTATTAATGAAATTAATTTTCATTTGTATTTTTTTCAGCACACGGATTTATCCCAATATTTAGAACGTCACAGCGGTGGACTCGACCCCCGGAATGTTCGTCTATTTCTCTTCCAATTACTTCGTGGTCTGGCTTACTGTCATAAGCGAAGAGTACTTCATCGAGATGTTAAACCTCAAAATCTTCTTATTAGTGAAATTGGAGAATTGAAACTGGCTGATTTCGGATTGGCCAGAGCCAAATCAGTGCCTAGTCATACTTACTCTCATGAAGTAGTAACCTTGTGGTACAGACCACCTGACGTATTGCTGGGAAGCACCGAATATTCCACTTCATTAGACATGTGGGGAGTGGGATGCATATTCGTGGAAATGATCACAGGAATGGCAATTTTTCCTGGTGTTCGGGATACTTATGATCAGTTAGATAAAATATTCAAGGTGAGTACTACTAAAAATGAATTTTTGACTGTGTTTTTCAATTACTAGCACAATCAATATAGGTGGCGTACACACACACACACATAAAAATTTAGAGTCATTGCCGAAAAAACCTTTCTATTTTGTCTATTGGAACTTGTTGCGCAGAATTTATGAATGTAGAAAAATCTTTCAGTTTTCAGAGCAAGAAATATTTTCCTACAAAAATTTTGTATAACTAAATATGATAGCTGCTTTTTCACCAAGCCATTCAACTCTGTTGATGAAAAATGTTAATTTCCATGAATCTCAACTTGTCTGAGGTAAATATGTTATACTATTTTTCCTAATAATAGAGAGTAAAATATGCTCTCCATAAATGTAAAACTCTAACAGAGTACTCAAACAAAATTTTGTGATTTTCCGCTGCCTCATATAAAAGCGCGCACGCCATCCAGCCAGTAATGTCATTCGACGATATTATGAAAACAAGTGAATTTAGTTAGCGACTGTTTAAAAAAAATCTGTTTAAAATCTGTTTTTCCGTTAACCAGCTGTCGCACCCCTACGAACGACAACCCTCAGAAGTTGAAACTTGTGCGAGCTAAGGATGAACGAGGTCTTACCTTTTAACGTGTGATTCCTAACACGGGTTGGACGGTAGCAAGTGAAGATCGATAGTTCAGACTAGGGCTTGAACTACCGACCAACACGGCAGTCAATTCGAGTGAGTGAACAAAGCACCCACGCCGAATCGCTTGGCTACCGACTGACTAGCTAGGTAAAATACTGTACGTGCGGTGGTGAATACTGTGAGTGGTGTCATTAGCAAGTTTTTAATGCTCCATTCTTTACTTCGGCATTTTTGAAGACAAAATTATGTCGGAAGCAAAAAAGAAGAAACGGCAGTATAACGCAGAATACATAAAATATGGATTTATTGAAAATCCCACAAATCCATCTTCCCCTATGTCAAAAAACATTTTCAAATGAAGCGATGAAACTCTCAAGGCTACAAGATCATTTGAATAAAATGTATTCAGATAAAAAAGACAAAAGTGTGACTTATTTTAATGAACTGAAAAAGAAACACTCAGTTCAGCCAACTGTGTCAAAACTTTTTTCAGCAGCTTCTAAGCAAGACGACGACGGACTCCGAGCTTCCTACAATATCTCCTTGCTAATTGCTCAAACAAGTAAACCTCACACTATTGGAGAGGATTTAATTTTACCGGCAATAAAAGAAGTAATAACTACTGTGCTCCATAAACCAGCGGCAGAAATTATCCAAAAAAATCCTTTGAGCAATAGTTCCGTGCAAAGACGAATTGATGAGATGGCTGAAAACATTGAAGAGTCATTGTGCAATCATCTGAAGACTTCTTAATTCTCAATTCAGTTAGATGAGTCCACTTTACCAACCAATGAAGCATTGTTGTCATACGTGAGGTTTATTAAAAATGAGAAAATATATCAAGAACTACTATTTGCCAGAAATTTAGAGACGGATACAAAAGGAGAAACCATATATAATACACTGAAAAAATTTTGTGATGAGAAAGAAATTCCACTGAAGAATATTGTATCAGCTGCTACGAATGGCGCTCCGGCTATGACAAGACTTCACAAAAGCTTTATAGCGTACTTAAAAAATATAATTCCAGATGTGCTCGCTGTACATTGCGTTATATGAGTGAGAGCCTCTCTCAATCACTGCAATATATCGTCAAAGCAGTCAATAAAAGTCGAAACAGCTCTTTAAATGACAGATTATTTAATCAGCTGTGTGTTACTAACGATGAAGACTTCAAGCGATTGCTATTTCACACAGAAGTTCGTTGGTTATCAAGAGGTAACTGTCTGACTCGATTTTACAATCTATTTGACCCTGTAATAGAGTTCTTGGAAAACAAAGACAAAGAATTGCACGACAACCTCATCACTTCAAAGAATGATATTGCGTACTTGACAGACCTATGTATAGATTATTTAATGATGTCAATCTCCAAGTTCAAGGTGACGACTTGAATTTGATTAAAACAAGAAATGTGATTGCTGCTTTTGTAGCCAAATTGCTTTTATACAAGAATAATATCGGCAGATGTGAATTTTGCAATTTCCCTAATTTGTCAGCAGTATCCTTCAACAACGACGACTTGACAAATTGTTTACTGCCTACATTTGGAGAACCTCCACAGTGATTTTGCAGAAAAATTCCAGGACATTTTAAAATTGGAAATACCGGACTGGGTGTTGTATCCTTTTTCCTGCCCAGGAACGGGCGAAGGATCACCCCAGCTGGGAGAAGAACTCATAGAACTGATAACGAACAAGGAAATAAAAATAAAATTCAAAAATGGTTACAAGAATTTTGGATACAAAAGCCGATCCCGCAATTGTACCCTGGATTGTGGTCCATCGTTCAACGATTTTTGATAGCATTCCCATCATCGTATTTGTGTGAACGTGGATTTGGTGCTGCGGCAACGTTGTTAACTAAAAAGAAATCGGTTGCAGATTACCGAACGCGGTGACTTACGGCTGTTTTTGAGTAAATTCGTGCCTGATATCAACAAACTTGTTGAAAATCATCAAATTCATCCTTCACATTAGATTAGTTTTAAAATTCAAATTGTTTTTTTTTTTAACATGNCGTCAACAAGTACACCATCGCCAATAACCGTTTAATAAAAAAAAGGCAATTTTTATATTTAGTTTCACTGGATAAACATTGAATTTATTAATTTTATTTGATCTTGGGTCGCATTGTTCTGCATATTAGTGTAATTTTTTTTGTGTTAGAGCCCCCATTGGCTCATTATTAGTATGTTTAGTTGAGCTTCTGAAAAAGCGTTATTACTTTCTTTTGTCGAAGGGGTAATTCCTCCATGAACCGTAAAATCCTGGGACTCAAAATCAAATTTTATTTCATAGCTAGTAGATATTTTTATGAATGATTTGAATGTATTTATTTATTTTTAGACTGTTCCATATTCACGGTGGAAGGCGTGCAGCTATATCCAGAACAGTACTCGTCAATAAAGTGAAGCCGGTGACCACCTCTCTCAGGAAAAAACTTTAAACAATGACCATAGTCCATAGTCTCTTAGTTTTTCCTTAAAACATTGAAAAACTCGTTATGCACTATTGTTGCAATATTTTTTACTGTTTTACTGTTTAGTTTAATAAGAATTTATTATTGAATATACATTTTAGAATTTTTCTGAAACTTGATTGCCATATGAGATTTGTGCTGTTGGATATATAATGAATTCACTTCTTTTTGTGAAACATATTCTCTCCATATTTAAATCACTAATAATGATGAAGATGAGAAAATAATTTCGAATCTGACGCTAATCAAGTATGTTTGCAAGTCAGACTCATGAACCCACCGATCCCTGTCTTCACTGGGACTGCCAAAAGAAGAGTCCTGACTACACAGGAAAAGAATTTGACAATTAGATATTATAATTCTATTGTTTTAGAATCATATTTACTCAGGTAGGTGTCTCCCCCAACTACCTTACTTCTATTTTTTTCCACCAATTCTGAAGCAATCAATTTTTATCTTCATGATTAGGATTGTTATAGTATATCTGGCAGTAATTCCCAATGATATATCCGCTCAAAAAAAAAAGAATTTTTCTGTTTCGAATTTGTTTAAACTTGAACTAAGCTAAAATTCCATAATAGTAGGCACTAACTTGTCAGAAATAGTATTCCATTAAAACGAAAACATTGTGATTCTATATATTTTATTATCTTCTATCAAAATCATACACACGCAGCTAAATGGTCATAGAATAACGGGCAACGTGTTTTATTCATTAAGAAAATTTACTGCTAATGAAATGTATTCAACAGCATCAATGTTTATTGAATGACTTTTCACATATAGTCAGTGGGCATACTTAGACTGGCTATACATCAAATCATCTGAAGGAACAATTCGTTCAGGCCAGTCTCAATAGATTTACAATTATTGGAACACACTTGAAGACTGGTTTCGGGCTGTTTGGCCACTCATCAGTGCATAAAGTCGATGATTTCCGATAATTGAAAAACGAATTCCTACAGGGTATCCTTCCTCGAACTAGGCTGAAGGGGACAACAAACAACAGGTTTATCATCGCCCCTTCTGACTGTGAAAAAGATAACCAACCGCATATCCGAAATTTGCCCAATTCCTCGTATAAGGAAAGAAAAATTTTCACATAAACGAGGAATTTTTAATTATATTTGCGACTAAAATTTATAAATGGCAACTTTGCGTACACAGAGCTGCACACTCAGTACAGATTACCAGAAGTATTTCAAACAGTTGCTGAGTATTAGTTAAGTTCCAAAATGTGAGCAGCTAGTATCTACCAATCCAAGAAGTGAACATTGTTTTTGGCGACAGAGAACATGTTTTATATTTGCAAACTGAATTTTCACTATATTTCTGAGAATGGATAATTTGAAATGGAAAATTTTAAAGCAGATAAATGAAGAAAGTGCGAACTCAAGATGACGGCAATTTTTAGCGAGAAACTGAAATTGTTCTCCCGTAATTTTGAAAATGACGTGCTATCTAAAGCGTCGGGGTGTTTGAATTGGGTCTTAGCCTCAACACTAACATGAGATATTGTAAATGCAGAATTGAAGACATTTATATAATAATCTTTATTTGAAATATAGTACACTAAAGTTCGGCGGTTCAATTTTGTTTTTGTTTGAAAAGATTTGAGAACTATAGTATAACAATTTTCAATTGAAGGTAACTCATATACAAATTGAACTGAGAGCTAACGGCAACAACGTTAAATGTAGACAGTTT